TCCTCAGCCCTCTGGACAACAGTTTTGGTAATCCCGCACCCCCTCCTAACTTCCAAACTACGAATTTCTGCATTATATTCACACCACACATTGCCCTCAGACATGACATCTCCACTGCCTCCAGCCTTCTCCTCCCTGCAACATTCATCACCCACGCTTCACACCCATATAAGCGTTGGTAAAACTATACTCTATACATTCCCCTCTTTGCCTCCAAGGAAAAAGTTCTTTTTTCTCCACAGACTCCTAAGTGCACCACTCACTCTTTTTCCCTCATCAATTCTATGATTCACCTCATCTTTCATAGACCCATCCGGGCTGACACGTCCACTCCCAAATACTGAATACGTTCACCTCCTCCATACTCTCCCCCTCCAATCTGATATATATATATATATATATATATTTATTTAAATTTATATATGTTAAAGTAATATTCATGTGTGATTTACAGTTATACAATGACATTTATAGTGTATAGTGAATGAAGTGTATAACATCGTTATTTATGATTAGTCATTGTGGTCAAGCTGACACAGCAAACTCAAGCCATAAACACCAGCCATATGTACCCTGTACCCTTCATGGCCCATTGACCCGGGAGGTTAAGCTTGTGGGTCAGTAGTGTCTGACTCGATTATTGGTGACTTAAGCATAACAAAAACTCAGCTGTTTATAGCAGTACAGTGTTTTTTAAACACTAAGTGTGGTGCTAGAATTTTCAGTATACCATTAAAATGGCTTGTTTGAAAACTCAGTTTCAGTCTTTACAGACTAAGATTACACAATTAAAAAATCTAATTTCAGTCTGTATAGGATTAACTCAAGATACAAAACATGATTTTGATGATCTTGATTTCAAATTTGAATTACTTACACAACGTCTGAAAATAATAAATTCAGACAATACACATTATGAAAAGAATTTTCTTGAATCAGATCCAACTGAGGATGAAATTAAAAATGTTTTGGATACTTTTAGTAACCAAAAATTTTAAGGTGGACAGGAGTACAGGCTATCTGCCGCAAAACTCTGTCACAGAGACCTACTGTAACTAGTGGTCAACACCCTGTTACACCTGTAACACAACAAGTGTCCCATTACCAAGCTTACCTACATTGTCATTACCTATTTTCCAAGGTCATAATTATGAAGAATTCATTAGTGGTTTTCAATCCATAGTAAATTCACGAACTGACATAGATGAGATTGCTAAGTTCAATTATCTTAAATGTCTTGTGAAGGGAGAACCCTATGAACTGATTAAGTCATTTCCGGTGGTTAAAGGCAATTATCAAATAGCCTTACGTGTCTTAACAGACAATTACTTTGATGCTGACAAGGCCAGAGTTAGACATGCAGTCTTAATATCAAGCATTGTTTTTCAGACTTACAGGCATTTAGAATCACATTAGACAATAGTCTCAGATCTCTAGGTGCTAAATATGACCTAAGGCAATGTGATTGGTTTATCACTGGTATTGTACAAGATAAGTTGTCACCACAAACTATGGAACAATTAAATATTATGTTCAATAAACGCTATTTCACTTGTGAAGAAATTAGCAATGGTTTACAAACAATAGTTTCATGCATGCAAGCAACGAGACAAGATGAAAAATCCACAAATCTGGTGGATAATAAACCTTCAACTCAGTATAAAAAGAGTATAACTACTCCCACTAAACCACAGAATGGGAAATCCCATATAGGCATTTATCAAGTTGTAAATACAACAGACAGTAAACAAACTGTCACACATAAACGTTCTCCAAAATGTGTACTTTGTGATGGAGCACATTGGGCACAGTATTGTAGTCAATACACATCAATGGAGGCACGTAAACAACCTGGAGTTTACCTGGAGAGAGTTTCGGGGGTCAACGCCCCCGCGGCCCGGTCTGTGACCAGGCCTCCTGGTGGATCAGCGCCTGATCAACCAGGCTGTTGCTGCTGGCTGCACGCAAACCAACGTACGAGCCACAGCCCGGCTGATCAGGAACTGACTTTAGGTGCTTGTCCAGTGCCAGCTTGAAGACTGCCAGGGGTCTGTTGGTAATCCCCCTTATGTGTGCGGGAGGCAGTTGAACAGTCTCGGGCCCCTGACACTTATTGTATGGTCTCTTAACGTGCTAGTGGACACCCTGCTTTTCTTTGGGGGGGATGGTGCATCGTTCTGCCAAGTCTTTTGCTTTCGTAATGAGTGATTTTCGTTGCAAGTTCGGTACTAGTCCCTCTAGGATTTTCCAGGTGTATATAATCATATATCTCTCCCTCCCGCGTTCCAGGAAAACAGGTTTAGAAACCTCAAGCGCTCCCAGTAATTGAGGTGTTTTATCTCCGTTTTTGCGCGCCGTGAAAGTTCTCTGTACATTTTCTAGGTCGGCAATTTCACCTGCCTTGAAAGGTGTGTTTGAGTGCAGCAATATTCCAGCCTAGATAGAACAAGTGACTGAAGAGTGTCATCATGGGCTTGGCCTCCCTAGTTTTGAAGGTTCTCATTATCCATCCTGTCATTTTTCTAGCAGATGCGATTGATAAAAATGTTAGGTCCTTGAAGGTGAGATCCTCCGACATGATCACTCCCAGGTCTTTGACGTTGGTGTTTGCTTATTTTGTGGCCAGAATTTGTTTTGTACTCTGATGAAGATTTAATTTCCTCGTGTTTCCTATCTGAGTAATTGAAATTTCTCATCGTTGAACTTCATATTGTTTTTTCTGCAGCCCACTGAAAAGTTTGGTTGATGTTCTGGGCCTGGAGCTTTGCAGTGTCGCAATGGAAGACACTGTCATGCAGATCGGGTGTCATCTGCAAGAAGACCGGTGCTGTGGCTGACATCCTTGTCTATGTTTGGATATAAGGATGAGGAAACAAGATGGGAGCGAGGGACTGTGCCTTGTGGAACAGAGCCCTTTTCCAGTAGCTGCCTCGGACTTTATTGGTTGAACGACTACTCTCTGGTTCTGTTAGTGAGGGGAAATTATAGATCCATCGACCGATTTTCCTGTTATTCCTTAGCACGCATTTTGTTGCGCTATTACGCATGGTCACACTTGTCGAAGGCTTTTGCAAAGTCTGTATAATACATCTGCATTCTTTTGTCTTCTAGTGCATTTGGACCTTGTCGTAGTGGTTCAATAGTTGAAGACAGGAGGGCACCTGTTCAAAACCCATGTTGCCCTGGGTTGTGTAAAATGATGGGATTCTAGTGCGTGGGTGATCTTGCTTCTTGGGGCCCTTTCAAAGATTTTTATGATATGGGAGTTAGTGCTATTGGTCTGTAGTTCTTTTGCTGTTGCTTTACTGCCCCCTTTGTGGAGTGGGGGCTATGTCTGTTGTTTTTAGTAACTGTGGGACGACCCCCGTGTCCATGCTCCCTCTCCCTAGGATGGAAAAGGCTCGTGATAGGGGCTTCTTGCAGTTCTTGATGAACACAGAGTTCCATGAGTCTGGCCCTGGGGCAGAGTGCATGGGCATGTCATTTATCGCCTGTTCGAAGTCATTTGGCGTCAGGATAACATCGGATAGGCTTGTGTTAATCAAATTTTGTGGCTCTCTCATAAAAAATTCATTTTGATCTTCGACTCTCAGTCTGGTTAGCGGCTTGCTAAAAACTGAGTCATATTGGGGCTTGAGTAGCTCACTCATTTCCTTGCTGTCATCTGTGTAGGACCCATCTTGTTTAAGTAGGGGCCCAATAGTAGGTGCAATAATAAGTATGGATGTTTTGTATGGTGAGTAGGTTGAGTGTTTTGAATATTGGTGGAATGTGTTGCCTGTAGTGAGAATTTGTTATCATTCTAACTGCAGCCTTTTGTTGGGTAATTAGTGGTCTGAGATGGTTAATTGTTGTTGAGCCCCATGCACAAATTCCATAGGTGAGATAGGGGTAAATAAGAGAGTGATAAAGGGCCGGAGGGCTGACTGTGGAACATAGTTTCCGGGATCTTCGATAGTATGCCTACAGTCTTGGAGATTCTTAGAAAAATTTTTTGTATATGTGTATGAAATTTGAGTCTATTATCGAGGTGGATTCTAGGAATTTTCCCTCTGTTTTGCTTTGTGATAGGTGATCCCTTTATTGTTTTGTTAAGAGGTACATCTGAGCTCTGTTACCAAACTGAATGAAGTAGGTTTTGTCAATGTTTAGTGTTTAAATTTGTTAGTCCTCATCCAGGTAGATATTTTTGTAATTCGGTGTTTAAAAGTATTGGCTAGCGTGACTGGGGCTCGGGTGTGAGAGAAGACGTATGTAGTATCATCTGCAAAAAGTGTGGGTTTGAGTTTAAATTTCGAAACATTTTGGGAGGTCATTTATGTATAGGAGAAAGAGAAGAGGGCCAAGGACACTTCCCTGTGGGACACCAAAATGTAATTGGTTGTGCGGAAGAGCTTGCCCCATTTGCGTACACATATTGGCTTCTGTTGCTGAGGTAAGACTTGAGGTAGTTGAGGGAGTGCCCTCTAATACATAGTGTGACAATTTTACGTGGAGCAAGTCATGGTCAAAATGTATCAAAAGCTTTACGTAAGTCAATGAAGATCCCCAGTGGGACTTCTTTTTCTCTATTGCAGTGTATATATGTTCTAGCATGTGTATAATAGCATCATTAGTATTTTTATTAGGCCTGAATCCAAATTGGCAGGGGCTGAGAAAGTTTTTTGGGGGATGAGGTAGGAGTAGATTCGTTTATGAATTAATTTTTCGGGAAAATTTTTGAGAGAGGGTTTTTAATTGGATATTGGCCTATAGTTATTCAACTCTGTTTGGTCTCCTCCTTTATGGATCGGGGTGACCCTTGCTATTTTGAGAACTGTAGGGAAGGGTGGAGGATTCAATGGATTTGTTAAAAGAGTGTTGCAATGATTGGTGATAGTACTTGTGACGCTTTTTTGTATATAAAGGGTGTGGTAAGGTATTTAAATCTCCTGCCTTGTTTTTCAGTGCGTTAATAATAAGGGAGACTTCGTATGGGTTAGTCGGAGCTAGGAACAGTGTGTTCGGGTAGTTGCCAGTGAGGTAGTCATTTGGTGGGGTATCTGAGCTTGGGATTTTATTGGCAAGGTTTTGACCTATAGTGGAGAAGAAATCATTGAGTCTGTTTGCTGTTTCTGTTGGTGGGAGTTGGGGTTCATCTGATTTTGCTAATTTTATTTCGCTATGTCGTGATATCTCTTTTGTTCCCAGAATTTCTGATAGGGTCTTCCAGGTCATACAACTGGCACCATCATACAACTGGCACCATCATACAACTGGCACCATCATACAACTGGCACCATCATACAACTGGCACCATCATACAACTGGCACCATCATACAACTGGCACCATCATACAACTGGCACCATCATACAACTGGCACCATCATACAACTGGCACCATCATACAACTGGCACCATCATAACACTGGCACCATCATAACTGGCACCATCATAACACTGGCACCATCATAACACTGGCACCATCATAACTGGCACCATCATAACACTGGTACCACATAACACTGGTACCATCATAACACATGGCACCATCATAACACTGGCACCATCATAACTGGCACCATCATAACTGGCACCATCATAACACTGGCACCATCATAACACTGGCACCATCTTAAAACTGGCATCATCATACAGCTGGCCGCTGCCTGTATTTACATCGCTTATATGACAAATGCTTCTCAAATAGCCAAAGAAAACGAATAATGCATGTGATTATTTTGAAAGAGTTTGTCTTTGATTTATTTGGAAAATTGACGAACAATTATGTGAATTAAACATGAATAACTTCATGTATGTTTCTTTCTTAAACCAATCAGCTGCAGCATAATACTGTAACATAACATTGCATTGTTACTTTGCAGTGGAATGAATAAATCATTATGGTGTTGTCAACAGGTGCTACCATGGGTGACTACCAGACAATACGTCTGGCCATGATATGTCTAGCCATTATAGGCATTGGCCTCTCTGTCTACGCTTTATATGTCGAAGTTTCTAAAGAAAATGATAAAGATTACCAGGCAATGTGTGACATCAGTGCCTCCATCTCCTGCTCCAAGGTCTTTATCTCCAAGTTAGTATTGTTTTTCAAGTTAGTGTTCATACATCGCTGTCATGTCGTATATATAATAGTGTCTACGTTAAACCTGAATAGAACTGGTAAAAAGGAATTTTAATGTTTTATTCGAAGAACTCCAATGGAAATAAGTCACTTTGTTTTGACATTTTTGGGTTATCCCAGGTTCTCTACACATACGCTGCTATGTATGATAATGTATGTAACTGTATTTGTGTATACCTGAATAAACTTAATTACTTATTTATAAACTATGATAACTGTACTTATGTGTACGTAGTTAAGCACTGGGATGCAAACACTCCGAGTTGAAAATCTTAATAAAATTTTATCTTAGGAATGAATGTACAGTGGAACCCAAGTACTCGAACTTAATTCATTCCAGAAAACTGTTCAAGTGCTGAACGAATTTTTCCCAACCACTTTTCTTTTTTGGTTGGCTGTTATCACTAGTTTTTGTAGGCCCCATGGTGACTTGGAGTTTACCTGGAGAGGGGTTTGAAGGTCAACGCCCCCGCGGCCCGGTCTGAGACCAGGCCTCATGGTGGATCAGGGTCTGATCAACCAGGCTGTTACTGCTGGCCGCACATAAGCAGACGTACGAACCACAGCCCAGTTGGTCAGGTACTGACTTTAGGTGCCTGTCCAGTGCCTTCTTGGAGACAGCCTGGGGTCTGTTGGTAATCCCCTTTATGTATGCTGGGAGGCAATTGAACAGTCTTGGGCCCCGGACACTTATTGTGTTGTCTCACAGTGTACTCGTGGCGCCCCTGCTTTTCATTGGGGGAATGTTGCCTCTCCTGCCGAGTCTTTTGCTGTCACATGGAGTGATTTTCGTGTGCAGGTTTGGTACCAGTCCCTCCAGGACCTTCCAAGTGTATATTATCATGTATCTTTCTTGCTTGTGTTCGAGGGAATACAGATCAAGGACCTTCAGCCATTCCCAATAATTTAGGTGCCTTATCGCACTTGTGTGTGCCGTGAAAGTTCTTTGTAAACTCTCCAGGTCTGCAATGTTGCCAGCCTTGAAGGGGGCCATTAGTGTACAGCAGTATTCCAGCCTAGAGAGCACAAGCGATTTGAAGAGAATCTTCATGGGCTTGGCATCCCTAGTTTTGAAGGTTCTCATTATCCATCCTATCATTTTCCTAGCAGATGAGGTAGATACATTGTTGTGGTCTTTGAATGTGAAATCCTCTCACATTATCACTCCCAGGTCCTTCACATTACTTTTCTGTCCTATTGTATGGTTAGAATTTATGGTGTACTCTGACACATTTTTAATTTCTTCAAGTTTTCCATATCTGAGTAGTTTAAATTTCTCCTCGTTAATCTTCATATGGTTTTGAGTGGCCCATTCGAAGATTTGGTTGATGTCCACTTGGAGTTTCGCGGTGTCTTCAATGGAGGTCAATGCCATGGTGATCCAGGTGTCATCCGCAAAGAAAGACACGGAGCTATGGCTTACATCTCTATGTCAGAAATGAGGCTGAGGAATAGAATGGGAGCGAGTACTGTGCCTTGTGGAACAGAGCTTTTTACCATGGCTGCCTGGGACTTTACTCTGTTTACTATCACTCATTGTGTTCTATTTGTCAGGAAGTTGTAGATTCATCTTCCAACTTTTCCCGTTATTCCTTTATCTCGCATTTTGTGTGCTATTACACCATGGTCACACTTGTCGAAAGCTTTTGCGAAGTCTTTGTATACTACATCTGTATTTTGTTTATCTTCTACAGCATCCAGGACCTTGTCATAGTGGTTCAGTAGCTGGGACAGGCAGGAGCGACCTGCTCTAAACCTGTGTTGCCCTGGGTTGTGTAATTGATGGGTATCTAGATGCTTGACTTATTTATATAAATAATATAAAAAACACCAAAGAAAATGTGAAGGAACACAGAATAGTTTACAGCGAAATTCTGGTAGGTTGTGTTTGTTTGGTTGAGCGCCGAGCAAACAGTCGAGTACTGAGTTATTTTTTTTTTTTTACCGAACGTAGCATTCAAGTACCGAATTGTTCGAGTAGGGAGCTGTTCGAGTACCAAGGTTCCACTGTAGTATTTGGATTTATTAACCCGGGAGGATCCGAGAAAGCCAATCCTTGTGGCTTATTTCCATTTATGCTCTTTGACGGTCTCCTCTCAAGATGCAGCCCAATTGACTAACTCCCAGGTATCTATTTACTGTTAGGTAACAGGGGCAGTAGATGTTAGGAGTCCTACCTATATGTCTCACCTAGTGCAGACAGCTACTGTGTATTACATATTATAAATTCATGGGAAAGGTTCAGGCCCATAAAGATAATATAGCACCTGGGAAATGGGATGGGGAGGGATAAGTAAGTTTTACCAAATGAAGGAGAGGACAGCTTCAGTTCCTGAACACAAAAATCCTTCTTTAGTATCAAAACATCATCCATCATGAAGAGTGCAGTACAGGTTTCTTTTGCTTTATGAGGTTTTTCTTTTATGCAGTCACCCTATTTCTACTAATAATTTGCTATATGCTTGAAGTTGCTCTTGTGCATTCACCAATCCCAGTGCCACTTGATATTTTAGTCATGGGTGTCCCATGGCTCAATTGGCAATGCTCTCATCTCACACCAGTACCAACAATACCACCAGTCCGATGACATTCTTCTTTGCAAATATACAGGGTCTAAAGCCAGCAACAAACAACAAAATACCTTTCATCCGTGGACTGCTTGCAGAGGCAAAGGCAATGTTCGCGGCTTTCACTGGGACCCACATAAAGGATCACTTGGACAACGAAATGTGGATCCCAGGTTACAACCTATACAGATGCGACAGAGTGAACAGGCAAAAGGGGAGGGGGTTGGCCTGTACATTGCAGAGTCACTTGTGTGCACAGAACTGCTGAATGCCTCAAATGATGTAGTGGAAGTTTTAGCAGTAAAGATCGAGAACCAAAACCTAGTCATTGTGGTAGTCTACAAGCCTCCGGATGCAACATCCCAGCAATTCCAGGAACAGCTGTTAAAATTGACCACTGTCTGGAAAATCTGCCAGCTCCTGCACCCAGCATCTTGCTCCTGGGGGATTTCAACTTAAGGTACCTAAAATGGAGGAATATAGCAAATAATATTGTTGCAGTAATAGCACCAGGAGGCAGCTCTGATGAAAACTCACACTCACACGAGCTTTTAAATCTCTGCAAAGAATTCAATTTAAACCAGCAAATAATAGAGCCTACTAGACTGGAGAATACACTAGACCTCATCTTCACTAACAATGATGATCTGATACGAAATGTCACCATATCAAAAACAATATACTCGGATCACAACATAATTGAGGTTCAGACATGTATGCGCAGAGCCCCAGACCGACATAATGAGATTAGTCACGAGGGAGCATTCACCAAATTCAACTTCAGTAACAAAAACATAAAGTGGGACCAAGTAAACCAAATCCTAACTGATATAAGCTGGGAAGATATACTAAGCAACACAGACCCCAACTTATGCCTAGAACGGATTAACTCGGTGGCGCTCAATGTATGAACAAGGCTTATTCCTCTAAGAAAAAGGAGGAGTAGATGTAAAATAGAAAGGGACAGGCGCTCCCTTTACAGGCGACGAAAAAGAATAACAGAATGGCTAAAAGAGGTCAATATATCTGAAAGGCGTAGGGAGACGCTGGTCAGAGAAATAGCAAGCATCGAACTTAAGCTAAAGGAATCTTATAGGAGTCAGGAATCGCGGGAAGAACTAAAAGCCATAAATGAAATCGAAAGAAACCCAAAGTATTTCTTCTCCTATGCCAAATCAAAGTCGAGAACAACGTCCAGTATTGGGCCCCTACTTAAACAAGATGGGTCCTACACAGATGACAGCAAGGAAATGAGTGAGCTACTCAAGTCCCAATATGACTTAGTTTTTAGCAAGCCGCTAACCAGACTGAGAGTCGAAGATCAAAATTAATTTTTTATGAGAGAGCCACAGAATTTGGTTAACATAAGCCTATCTGATGTTATCCTGACGCCAAATGACTTCGAACAGGCGATAAATGACATTCCCATGCACTCTGCCCCAGGGCCAGACTCATGGAACTCCGTGTTCATCAAGAATTGCAAGAAGCCCCTATCACGAGCTTTTACCATCCTATGGAGAGGGAGCATGGACACAGGGGTCGTCCCACAGTTACTAAACACAACAGACATAGCCCCACTCCACAAAGGGGGCAGTAAAGCAACAGCAAAGAACTACAGACCGATAGCACTAACATCCCATATCATAAAAATCTTTGAAAGGTGTCCTAAGAAGCAAGATCACCACCCATCTAGAAACCCATCAATTACACAACCCAGGGCAACATGGGTTTAGAACAGGTCGCTCCTGTCTGTCTCAACTAATGGATCACTACGACAAGGTCCTAGATGCACTGGAAGACAAAAAGAATGCAGATATAATATATACAGACTTTACAAAAGCCTTCGACAAGTGTGACTATGGCGTAATAGCGCACAAAATGCGTGCTAAAGGAATAATGGGAAAAGTTGGTCGATGGATCTATAATTTCCTCACTAACAGAACACAGAGAGTAGTAGTCAACAGAGTAAAGTCCGAGGCAGCTACGGTGAAAAGCTCTGTTCCACAAGGCACAGTACTTGCTCCCATCTTGTTCCTCATCCTCATATCTGACATACACAAGGATGTCAGCCACAGCACCGTGTCTTCCTTTGCAGATGACACCCGAATCTGCATGACAGTGTCTTCCATTGCAGACACTGCAAGGCTCCAGGCGGACATCAACCAAATCTTTCAGTGGGCTGCAGAAAACAATATGAAGTTTAACGATGAGAAATTTCAATTACTCAGATATGGCAAACACATGGAAATTAAATCTTCATCAGAGTACAAAACAAATTCTGGCCACAAAATAGAGAGAAACACTAACGTCAAAGACCTGGGAGTGATCATGTCGGAGGATCTCACCTTCAAGGACCATAACATTGTATCAA